AAAGAGTGAAAAATTTAAGGGGGTCTGAATACTTTCCGTACCCACTGTATATATATATGATGAGTTGGACTATTTATTTATACACAGTCCCCCCATTTTCAGGGGCTCAAATGTAATTGGACAAATAAATATAATCATATATTAAATGTTCATTTTTAATATTTTGTTGAGAATCCTTTGCAGGCAATGACTGCCTGAACTCATGGACATCACCAAAGACTGGGTTTCCTCCTTTGTGCTGCTTTGCCAGGCCTTTGCTGCAGCTGACTTCAGTTGTTGTTTGTTTGTGGGTCTTTCTGCCTTTAGTTTTGTCTTCAGCGAGTGAAATGCATGCTCAATCAGGTTGAGATCAGGAGATTGACTTTGCCATTGCAGAATATTCCACTTTTTACCTTCAAAAACTCTTGGGTTGCTTTTGCTGTATGTTTTGGGTCATAGTCCATTTGTACTATGAAGCTATAAAGTGTAATATGATACACTTCAGAGTTCATCCGGCTGCTTCTGTCTTCTGTCACGTCATCACTAAACACCAGTAACCCAGTGTCACTGGAAGCCATGCATGCTCATGCCATCACACTGCTCCATGTTTCACAGATGATGTTGTATGCTTTGGATCATGAGTTGTTCCAAGCCTTCTCCATACTTTATTCTTCCCGTCATTCTGGTGCAGGTTGATCTTAATTTCAGCCGTCCAAAGAATGCTTTTCCAGAAGTTGTCTGGCTTTTTTATTATTATTATTATTTTTTTAAAGTCTAGCCTGTGTGTATCACAGAGCTATGATAATATTCCATTTCTGGTCGACATGAGTAACAGGTCAGACAAGGAAAGTAGCCTAAATAAGAAAAGCAAACAAAGATGGACTGAGCAGTTCCAGTCTACAAGGATGTTGACCTTGTGCATCTTTAAAGGCACTGCAGGGTGCAGGCAGGAAAAAACGATTAAAATGTAGATTAAAATGCTAAAAATATTTTGAGGAAAAATGGATGCCACTCGCTGAGATAGGCTAAACAAGGCGATGAGGTCGCATGACCTCAATGTAGTGCATTGCATACGGTTTCACGTGCTTTTAAAGTAGAACGGTACAGCAGAATACAGTATGTAGGGAGCAGAACACTAGTGTTCATATCAAACACTATAGAAACTTAGTTCTATGGGATTGACTCCCTTTTGCAGCCAGCCTCTAGCGGCCAGTTGATGAATTACAGTTTTAGTCACTTCCTTGTTGGCATCACGAGAGAGAGAGCGGGAGGTTGCCGCTTGATTTGAACACAGCCGATGAGCTTTTGAAAAGTTGCCTCTTACTGCCACCTGCTGGGCTGTTGAAGACATTAAAGTAAATTCGTCTTAGTCCTTTCTAGATCTTCTGTAAATGTACAAGTGTCGTGTTTTTCTGATTATATCAATCACAGATGGCAATTTTAGAGCCATTTTTAGAAATCGGTATATTGTTACATTGACTTAAAAGACCAAAAAATATAGCACAAGGTATTTTCTGCAAAGTCGTTTTTGAGGATTTTTAACGAATAATGACAAACGTCAGTCTGTTTCACGTGCTATCATATCGCTTCAGAAGATTTTAAATCGATTTGATTTTGCACGACACATGGACCACTTTCATTATACCGGAATAACCATAATAACCGTAATAAAACTATAACAATTAATGGGAAATAAAACTTTATCAATAACTAACCCAAACTACCCGTCTTCCCCATTTTTGATTATGTATACTAAATGTTACGTATTTTTATTGTATAAAATGTCTCTTCCTTTAGATTTTTATAAAGTGTTTAAACCCCCACAGACATTTGAATTGAAAATGTAGTAGCCTACCTTCTTTCTTCCTTTGTTTTTTGACAGTAATAGCCTGAATTGTCCAGGTGGGGGCAATGTTGCATGTTTTTTCAGTCTGTCATTGTGAAAAGTTTTTCAGCAGCTCAATCAATCGTCTGTTTTAATAGTGTGGCCCAAATGTTTGAATGAACAACACTGTTTCCACAACACACTCCTCATGCTGTCAATGAGGAGAACGAGCTGCAGTTAAAACATGGATATACAGACACCTAAAGTCGTGATTGCCATCTT